GTAATAAAGGCAAAGTCAAGCCACCAACTTGGAGAAAATATTCACAATGCACATACCAAAGGACTTATATCCAGAATATATAAAGAACTCCCATAAATCAATAATAAAAAGTCAATCAGTTCAGTTTAAAAATGGACAGAAAATTTGGACAGGAACTTCATAAAAGATGATATATAAATCATCAAAAAGCATACAAAGATATATTAAACATCATTAATCACTAGGAAAATAAAAATTAAAAGCATAATAAGATATCACTACATACTCAAAAGAAAAGCTCAAATTTAAAAAGTTGACAATACTAAGTCTTAGGAAGAATGTTCAGAAACTAAAATTCTTATATATTGCTGGTGGGAGTGCAAACACTTTGTAAAGGTTTTTGGCAGTTTCTAGAAAAATAATTATACATCTATTCAATGGCAGTTATATGTCCAGCTATTTACACAGCAGAAATGAATCCATAAATTCAGAAAAATACTTTAAGTGAAATGTTTGTACCTTCACTTTTCATAAGGGATCAAAGCAGATAACCCAAATGTCCATCAGCAGGACAATGGATAAACAAACTATGGTATATTCATCCAGTGGAATACTACATGTCAATACAAAGGACTGCTGTTACACACTACAATATGGATGAAACTAAAAATACGTTAGTGAAAGAAGCCTTTATGAGAACACACCGTATGATTTGAGTTATATGAACTTTAAGAGCAGAAAAACCAAATCTATTGTAATAGAAATCAGAATAGTAGTAAGGGTAGGGAGATGGTGGATTTGATAGGTATTGACTAGAAAAAGGCATAAAGGAGTTTTCTCGGGTGATGGAAATTTTCTTGGTTGATGGTCACCCAAGTATATACATTTGCTAAAATTCATGAGCTGTACACTTAAGATGTGGGCACTTTTGACTATCTAAATTATATGCTATCTAAATTATATGTTATTAAAGTTATCTAAATGATTATTAAAGTACTGTCAGGACAAAAATTAAAAGTAAGCCACCATTTATAAGGGCAGACTTCTATATTAAAAAATATTTATTTGTAAATTTCTTCATTAGCACTTGTTCAAGGCTGATCTAATGTATTTTATTTGCAAGATATAAAGTTGTCAACAAATGAGGAAATTCCCAGCATTTACTTTCATATTTATTTTGGAATCAGAACAGCATGTTCCCTTTGTTAGAATTCACTTTTACTTTCATTTCTAGATTCCTGGGTAGAGTCCTTATGTATTTCTTTAATTAAAAATGTTAAAAACCGCCTAGCTGATGTGGTTCAGTGGACTGAGCATCCTCCCATGGAACAGAGGTACTGGTTTGATTCCCAGTCAGGGCACATGCCCAGGTTTTCGGCTCCATCCCCATTCGGGGGCGTGCAGGAAGCAGCTGATAGATGTTTCTCTCTCACATCAATGTTTCTCTCTCTCTTCCCTTTCCTTAAAAAAAAAAAAAATCAATAAAAAATATATTTTAAAAATGTTAAAAGCTTACAGTGCAATAGCATTAGGCTGGAATTGAAGTTGTTATCACATTATTACTATTATGTGAAATTCCTTCCAGAGAAAGAATTTTTAAAAATGATCACCTTTGCCCTGGCCAGTTTGGCTCAGCGGTTAGAGCATCGGCCTGCGGTCTGGAGAGACCCGGGTTCGGTTCCCGCTAAGGGCATGTACCTCGGTTGCAGTTTGTCCCCGGCCCTGGTTGGTCGTGCGGGTGGCAGCCACTCGATGTGTCCCTTTCACGTGGATGTTTCTCTCTCTCTCTTCCTCTCTCTCCCTCCCACTCTATCTGTACAAAAAAAAAAAAAAAATGATCACCTTTAAGGGAAAAACATACTTTAAAGTTAATTATTTAATAATGAGATATTGAGAACATATCACTGGTAAGAGTTATCCAAATTCCAAACCAGGAGTGTAGTGAAAAGTCCTCTCATACTCTTATACCTTGCTTATACATTGCCTGTAGAAGAAAACTGGAGAACTAGAGATGGTAATGGTCCTATGTGTCTACCTTGTCACTTTTCTCAAACATTTCCTTCCTTATTTCTATCTCTAAAAGAGTATTTGGAGAAAAAATTTATTTAGGTGAATTGGATGCTCCAAGGAGGAGGGGAGCTTTTATATAACATATTTGGGATATTCAAAGCGTTAGAGAAGAAATGTAAATAAGGTATGTTGCACTATTAAAAATTTGGGTGCAGTTTTAGAATAAAGTAGTCCCAAGTGGATAGATTGACTCCATTTTTGTGTTAACAATGATTTATTGAGCATCTACTATTTGCAGGTACCCTGCTAGTACTAGCATAATGTTAACAAAATAATACACAGTCCTCACTCATATGCAAATTAGAAATGTTACAGGTAAATTACTTTTTGAAAAATCATCAATTAAAGTAGTGTAAAATGTTGCAAAGTAGACATATTGATCCATATTGACAGGTTTGATCACAACAATCATTATTAGTTGGAAGAACTTGGGAATCCTAGTCAGTTCAGGATTTCCTAGGCCACGGTCTTTAAATTGGGATAAGTGTTCCTTTGGGCAAACTTCAGAATCTAATGTTGTATTTGCATATGTCGTTTTTCCACATGTGGTTTTTCCTAAAATTCATCTGCCTGAAAACAAGAATTTCGGTTGTGAGGTCTCTCTGTCTTCTCTCCATCTTTTTATAAGGGTTCTCTCTTAAAAAAATACTGGCTCACCTGTCACCCATCTTAGGTTTTAAAATGTTGTATTGACCCTGGGTGTAAAATTTTCCTGGACAATTAGTAATTCTTGTTTGTGTTGAGAAAATGAATGACTGTAATATCTGGGTATAGAGTTGCCAGATAAAATATAGGACACCTAGTTAAATTTGAATTTTGATCATCAATGAATAATGTATTCAATAAATAATGTATTACATGATTTGTTGTTTATCTCAAATTTAAATTTAACTAGGTGTCCTGTGTTTTATTTTATTATTTTAATATGTTTTTATTTATTTATTTTTAGAGAGAGAAAAAGGGAGAGAGAGATAGAAACATAGATGTGAGAGAGAATCATCAGTTGGCTAACTCCTGCACACCCCCCACTGGGGATGGAGCCCACAACCCGGCATATGTCCTGACCTGGAATTGAACTGAGACCTCTCAGTCCATGGGACTAGCCTCAATTCACTGAGCCACACCAGTTGGGCAGTATCCTATATTTTAATTTGCTAACTCTGGCAACCCAACATGCTGAGCAAAATTCTATAGTTTCTAAATCACTGATTTAAACAAAATTGAGCTGTCTTCTGATAACTAATTACATTTTTGGATTAAAGATCAGTAAATGACTTTTCGGATATAAAACAAATGTTCAAAAAAATTGTGAGAAGACTGATATAACATTTCTTCTGGGCCTATCTGCTTACTTTACTTATGTGAGAAGATTTTCCAACACTTATAATCTTTAGAAATGAGAAAAAGGAAAGAATCTACATTCTACACAGTTGAATAAATTGTTAAAATATAACATGCAACTCCATTAACATTGCATTTGTAATAGACTTTTACATCTTATCTTTAGTAATTATTAACATTTACGTATATTGTTTTGACCAATTGTGTAGTAAGTACCAAAAGTAAAAAAATGATAATTCAATCAAGGAGAAATTTTTCTTTAACATTTAGAGGCTTAGATCACTGGAAAAAATATCAAATTTTAATTTATACAATCATTGTTTCAGAAATATGTGCCAGAGTGATCATAAAGATATCCATTATGAATATGTATTAATATTCTGTGGGGGAAGTAGAATGTTCAAGTACAGAAGGCAATGATATAAATTTTCTAATTATTAAAGATGAGTTGATATGTTAATTCTTGAAGGTATCGAATGGCTATGGTCCAATGAGAGCTGGATCAATTTTATTCTAAAATATTTGTCTACATTTGTAATTATGACAATTTTTATGTTTTAATGTCAAGTTAAAAATGTGAAATGGAATACAGTTTTTCAAGATACCTTTGGTGGCTACATGATCAAAAATGTATAAAGACCACAAAATGTTCTCAGTCATCTTAAAGCTGAATTGAAATGGCTTATAATTTTTGAACTAAGCAGGCTCAGAGGGGGATTGAAATCTCTATGTGATAGATAAACTTTAATCTTTTTAATAAAATTTTGACTGAAACTCTAACTGGAGCTTATCCTAGCTGTACTAAATGAAGTGGGCATCCCTCTTGATGAATTACTAAATTATATTATGGGTTTTGCTTTTGGTTCCTAATTACCTTTGACCTACTACAAGACATAAAAATCTGTTACCCTGGCAGATGCCGTCCTTGGACGAGGTTGCTTAAATTTCCTTCTTCGACAAGGAATGTTGAGGAAAACATGGCAGTGCAGTGAGACCCAGACTGCAAGTTTTCATGAAAATAGCACTTTAACTTAGAGATCTCCTTGGTGAGACAAAAGGTGGAATTTTTTAATAGCCCACTCTACTCCAGTTATAAGAACAATCAACCAATAACATCAACAAAAAACAGTTTCAATGCAGGAAACTAGTTAGGTGATCTCAGTTTTTGAAACAGTAAAAATAAACTGAAAAGGAGAATTATATGATTTTTTTTGCATGCCGCTGCATTTCCATTCATGCTTTATTTCTCAATGAGAACAAAACGTTAACAACTATCATAAAGGTTTCACAAAGTTTCGTGGGTTTAAAAAAAAAAAAAAGACATGGGAGATGGACCTTTTCCAGTCAGACTGCCTGATGATCATCTTCCCTACATGGGTTATCAATATTTTCCCCGATCCATGAACAAAGAAGCAAAGGTGAATGTCCTGCAGATATGCTAAGGTTAAGAAATAGTCATGCTTTTAGGGCTGTGGAAATCCCCGAGTGAGTTAGGGGAAGTGCCTGTGGTTATTACCGCTGGAGTTCCCCTAAGTCCAAAGAGGAAAGCACCGACCGCTGCGAGGAGTGCAGAACACCGGGTGTTCCGTGTCGGGCGTGTGTAGGTGGGGGTGGGGAGGGCGAAGTGAAACATTAAAAGGCAGCGTGAGACTCTAACCCGCACGGAACAGCCGGGCGACAGGTGTCATCGAGAAGACTGGGCAGGCAGGTCTCGCTAGCCCACATCAGCCTCGCGGCAGCAGGTGGGTGAGGACAGCAGGGAGGCTGGGAGTGCGCGTCTGCCTCTTCCCCACCCCCACCCGGGAGGACACCCGTCAGTTCCTCGGCTTGGAGGCGCCGAGGGGGGCCAGCGGAGCGGCGGCGGACGAGGGGGCAGCGGGGTGGCACGGTCATAAAACACCTCTGCAGGACCCAGAGGTCGGCTCCGGGTCGGCTCTCGAGCGGATCAGGGACAAGCAAAAGAGTGGGTCCCCGCGAGCCTGGGTGTCTTTTCCCTTTGCTGCCAACCCGCCAGGAGGCGCGGGGCGTGGGGCTCCGGAGCTCGAGCGGTGCCCTTGGCCCTGCGCTGCCTTCAGCGACGCTCACTTGCAGCCGCCTTCCCTCCCTGTGCTCGGTTTCCGGTTTACTTTTGGGGCGAGCCAGTGGACTGGGGAAGCTTTGATATTTGGTTTAATTTGCTTGCCAGGAGGTATCACCAGGTCTTTGAGTATGCCTAATAAGCTTCAACACAGAGCCTAAAGCAGAGCTTTGCATTGTAAGGACTCGGGAAAATATTTAATGAATAAATGGAGGGATGTTCCTAAGTGGTGGCAGAAAGCCAATTTTTTCATAGTTTTCCTGGTGATCAGCAAGGAAATTCTGTATTGCTCTTAATTTTAGTAAAGACATGTCCCTGATGCCAAAGTAACAATATTAGTTTGCTATTATTTATTGCTAACATCAGGTGTTGCTAATACCTAGTATATGCTAGCACCCCATGGAAGTCTTTACAGGTGTTCTCACAATCTCAAGAAGCAGTTACCATAATTAGCTCTATTGACAATGAGAAAACTCAGGATTGACTTGCCTAAGGTTACAGACCCTGGTGGGGGGAGACTGAATAGTATTGGAAACCCAAGATGTTTGACTCCAAAGCCTGGATTGAACCATCACTGTGCAGACTTTGTGGTCATTAATATAAAATTGATGTCCTTAATACCATGCAAATAAGGGTAGTGTACTCATGGGGGCTCAGTCAAGCTTGCTAACATTCACTTCTTAAACAGAAATTCTTGCATTCGATGCCAGGCTGGGTGGATATTGCGGCTGGGAGGGCTGGTACAAAGTTGAAACATAGTCCTGATCTGAAAGAGCTCATAGCAAAGGGGGAGGCAGCAAAAAAAGGGCAAATATGTCCTCCAGTGTCAGAGACATGGATATGCTAAGTGCCCCAGAGAACAGAGAGACACCCAGAGCCCTGGGTTCAGGGAGGTTCCCCACTGGAAATGATAGAGTAAAAAGAGAAGAGGTTGGGCACTTGAGCCAAACTGAGAAGGAACCACAAGAAAGGAAAGACGAATTCCAGTAGAGTGGTATGAGAAATCCAAGGGAGTAGAGTATTTTGAAGAGGCAGTGGGCCCCGGTGTGGTGTCAGACAGAAAATTTTCATTGGTTTTGGCACAGAAGCTATTGGTTTTATTAATAATGAGATTATTTTTAAGTGTTGGCAGCTAAAGCTAATTGTAGAGAGAGATCTTAACCATAGACATGTGTTCAATTAACTTGGCTGTGGAAAGATGGTGAGACACAGGATAGTTTCTAGAGTGGAAAGTGGGGTTCAGAGGATTTTTGGTTTGTTTTTATTCGAAAGTTGGGACAGACTTAAGCATGCTTTTTATATGGAAGGAAAAGAGACGCGTGCTGCGAGGGAGGGAGAGAGAGAGGAGAGAAACAGATGAGGGGGATGAGGTTAACAGCAAGATTTCTGAGGTATCGGGAGAGAATGGGATATGTTTTTTTTTGGTACGTGTGCTATTGGAAACCAAACCCGGGACTCTCTGGTCTGCAGGCTGATGCTCCAACCGCTGAGCCAAACTGGCCAGGACAAGAGAGGACGGGATATGTAAAGAGACAAGTTTGTTATCTGAGGTAGCAAATAGATTGTGAGGGAAAAGGCATAGATTTGAACATGTCAATGGACTACTACTGCTCAGTGATGTCTCTTTTCTTTGAGAAATTGAAGATGTATAAGGGGTTTGCAATCTCAAGCACATAGGGACCAGGCAGGTGATATGAATAAACAAAACTGTGGGTGTCTCATTTAAACAAAAACGTACTTTAGTCTGGCCAGTGTGGCCCACTAGTTGAGTGTCGACTCATGCACCAAGAGGTCACCAGTTTGATTCCTGGTCAGGGCACATGCCCAGGTTGTGGGCCAAATCCCCAGTGGGGGGGCATGAGGAGGTGGGCAGTCGAAGTTCTCTCTCATTGATGTTTCTATCTCTCTCTCCCTTCCTCTTGCTCTGAAAATCAATAAAGAAATTAAAAAAACAAAAACAAAAGATACATTAGTTACATATATAACGTGTAGGAATGTTCTTCCTTTCCACAAAGAAATAGGGTACTCTCATTTTTCTTTTAACATGTGTTCCTCTTTGTCTACCTTTCATTTTTACTTTTGATAGAAACAGACATTAGAGTAGTTTCACTTTCCCATAATTCTACTATAAGAAATCAACAGCGCCAGCTCAGTGACAAAGAGCAACTGACAGTCTGAATATCAGGGAGTGCAAGTGTGGTGCCAAACTGGGGAGCATGTGCCCTCTCTAAAAGGTACAGTCATATAACCTGGCCGGTGTGGCTCAGTGGACTGAGCATCATCCTATGGACTGAGAGGTCCTGGTTTGATGTTTCTGTCTCACATCATTTCTATCTCTCTCTCCCTTTCTCTCTAAAAAACCAATTAAACATATTTTTGAAAGGTATAGTCACTGCTCAGATCTGGCTGGTTGTTGCCCTACAGGAATATAGACCCCCATGTGGTCAGATCTTCTAATTTTTCAAGAGAAGCTAGAGTCTAGAATGTTATGGCAAATCTCTCACTTTTAAAAAATGTTGGTAATTATTTAAAACCTTTAAAATTACTGTGGTCCTACCCCGGTTGATGTGGCTCAGTTGGTTGAGCGTTGTCCAGTGCACTGAAAGGTCACAGGTTTGATTCCAGGTAAGGGCACATGCCCAGGTTGTAGGTTTGCTCCCCAGTCAGGGTGTGTTCAGTAGGGAACCAATCAATGTTACTCTCTCACATCCATGTTTCTCTCTCTCTCCCTCCCTCTCAATCAATAAAAACAAAAAAATAAATAAAATACCATGGTCCAAAAATGTACTTATTTAGAAAACTGGTGAAATTCAAACAAGGCATACAGATTAATTAATAACATTGTATCAATTTTAATTTCCTGGTTCCTATAATTATAAGATGTTAACTTGGGGGAAGTTGAGTACATGGTATGTGGGAACTGTTATTTTTGTAAGGTTTCTCTAAGTATAAATTAATTTCAAAATAAAAAAAATAGTAAAATACTATAGATCAATTCTGTGCAAGCCAAACATAACACCTCTACTGGCTCCCAGTTTGAGCTCTCTGGATTATGTATGGGATTTCTTGGTCTCTGCTGTGCCTGGTACAGTACCTTGTACACAGTGGACAACCAATAAACACTTGTGCTCTATTTTGGAGGAAATGGTTTAAAAAAATATTGTGTTTCAAAAAAACATCATTGCTACTTCTATGAATTATTTGACTTTAAAATTGTCTTTTTTTAAACAGGTTTTACAAAGAAGGAGTGAACTATTCTACTTATAGATTTTTTCTATTTTTTCCTGTAAGTCAAAACAACTCAACATGGAGGCCTAAAACCCTTAAAGGGACTTAGTCTAATCTCTGGGAGGTAGTTTTGTGCATGAATAAACAAATTAAGTAGTTAACTAGAGTTTGTGGCATCCAAAGAAAGTTATAATTTTAAAAAATATGATCTAGTTATATGAGGTATAACTATAAAGTAATACTGAGTTTGATTTTGAATTTGACTGTGGAGAAGTGATTTTACTTAGGACACATTTTAAAGTACTCTTCAAAACTGGCTGGGTAATCTCCCACTGTTCTGCTGTGTGGAATAGAAAAAAGTGCCCGAGTTTGTTAAAGATTTAAAAATGAATGACAGTTATCTAGAACAAAGAGTTAATACTCTACCCTCTACTAAATTAGAGAAATATGCAAACGAGGCCTTTGACATGTTAAAAGATTTCTACAATGACAAAGAGATGTCAAGAACAAAACTTTTTGATACATACAATAAATTTAGAGAAAGTAGGAAAGATGAACTTGATGACTGGTGAAGAAATGATCTAACCATTGATAAAACTATTGGTATTTTAGTTTGTTCAAATAGGCTATTATCTCTGAGAATGATAAGAATGATGGCTAGATGGTTACATTTTAGTAAAGGAACAAACTTATTCAGAAATAAAATTTACACAGAGACAATAATACGCACCAAGAAGGTTTTTATAAGGATGTGTAAAAATTTTGACCAGTGAAAGGAAACTGAAATTAGATACAATAACTCACCTTTGAGAGGTTTCTTTTGTCACCTAGAAAATAAAGCATTAAAGTCTGCAGTAGAAAATTCTAGCATTAAAAAAAAAAAAGAAAAAGAAAATAAAAATCCCAACATCTGCAGGACGGAGAAAGTGTGCTTGCAAATCACTGCTAGAAAAACCATGGTGATTTTTTTTATTGGTCATTGCTGGTGTTATAGATGCAGAACCTATTCACTAATAGCTAGTCATAATCAAGATATTCTAAATTTTCAGAAGGTCGCTGCTGTTCAAAAGAAGTGGACTGTGACAAAGTAAATTCCCTGATATTTTATTTAAAATAGAATGTCTAATTTGCTAAGATCTAATGGTATCACGATTGCAAAGCAACCAGGTTCCTATTTATTTATGGGAATTATTATTTAATAAATTTTAAAACCAGGCCTTAGATATATCAGTTAATCCAGTTTCTACTTAAGCTCTATCTGGAAATTTTTTTTTGATTTCTGTGTTCTCCCTATTAAAATAATTGTAGGAAGAAAAACTACTTAATTTGAGTAAGATTTGCAATATATTATATTTCATTGAATCTAGGATGTCATCAATTGTAAGATATACCATTATTTTATGTACCTCTAAGAAATAAAAATGCTGCTAATTAAAATATAGCATTAATATATGCATCTTAGAATCAGGGAAATATGGTAATGCATTCTTTTTCTCTTATGCTTCCTCCCCACCCCCAGCTACCAAATTTCACAATTTAAATAAAGCTAAATAAACATAGCTTGAATATTTTTTTCTGTAGAGTACTTATTGAGCATAACTTTCCACCATCAGAGCAAGCTAGCTGTGTGAGTCAGACATTTTATCTTTCTGCTGGCTGAATGTCACTGAAGCATTCTAGTGGAGAAGTTGACCTACCTGTGGAAATGCCTGACACTAAATGGCATCTTGCTGACCTAAAACAGTCTACACTTTTATGAAGGGTTTTAATTTTCATCACAAGGTACTGTGTAACATCATGTTTTACCCTGTATGATTATACAAAGGTGCTGTTATGCATAATTGTCCCTTAAGACGTATTAGTATAAGATTTTAATCTCACTGTGCTAAAATCCTGAAGGCACAGGAGAAAGAACAAAAGATTTCTGTTCTAGGTGTTCAACCTAGTACTAAAACTAACAAAAATCAAAAGCCATGCACAAAACTACCTCCCTAGAGAAAGACTAGTCCCTTTTCCTCCCCATCCATTTCTTTATGAACATAGTAGAAAACAGCGAATTCTTATCCAATTTGATGAAAAGTGCCAACATGTTTGAAATGAAATATGACCTTTCTTGTGAACTATATCGGATATCTACATATTCAACTTTCCCCGCCGGTGTTCCTGTGTCAGAAAGGAGCCTTGCTCGTGCTGGTTTTTATTATACTGGTGTGAATGACAAGGTCAAGTGCTTCTGTTGTGGCCTGATGCTGGATAACTGGAAACAAGGAGACAATCCCATTGAAAAGCATAAAATGTTGTATCCTAGCTGTAGCTTTGTTCAGAAACTATATTCAGGTAACATTTCAGGAGCCAATTCTCAGCTTAATATGCCTTCTCCAGTAACAAATTCCACACATTCATTACTTCCAAGTTCGGAAAACAGTGATTATTTCAGTGGCTCTTATTCAAGCTTTCCCTCAAGTCCTGTAAACTCTGAACCAAATCAAGATATTTCTGCCTTGAGGAGAAGTCCCAACCATTGTATAATGAACACCGAAAACAACAGATTACTTACTTTCCAGATGTGGCCACTGACCTTTCTGTCGCCAAGAGATCTGGCAAAAGCAGGTTTTTACTACATAGGACCTGGAGACAGAGTGGCTTGCTTTGCCTGTGGTGGAAAACTGAGCAACTGGGAACCAAAGGACGATGCTATGTCAGAACACCTGAAACACTTCCCCAAATGCCCGTTTTTAGAAAGTCGACCTCAAGACACTTCAAGATACAGTGTTTCTAATCTAAGCATGCAGACTCAGGCAGCCCGTTTTAGAACATTCTGTAACTGGCCTTCTAGTGTTCCTGTTCATCCTAATCAACTTGCAAGTGCAGGTTTTTATTATATGGGTAAGAGACTTAATCTGATAATAATAATTTAAAAAATTCAACATGTTTTATACATTTTAGTGGGCAAATTATATGTATTCATAAGTTTTGGTCCAAAATTAATTTTAGGTCACAATGATGATGTCAAATGCTTTTGCTGTGATGGCGGACTAAGGTGCTGGGAATCTGGAGATGACCCGTGGGTGGAACATGCCAAATGGTTTCCAAGGTAATAATCTCTTTGCAAATGTGTGTGATTATCATGAGATGGGTTATATGTGTTTACCTTATAATCAGCTGATAGTTTATTCTTTGTTTCAAAAATAATTTGTGAATAAATTTAGGATGGATTATTTAGAACAGTAATTATTTAAAAGATTTTTATGGAAATTTAAGACAAAGAAGAAATAGGTTTAGGATTTTTTGTGTGTAATTAATATATGTATTAAAATAATGTATCTCATTTTAAAACCGGTCACATGTTATAGGCAAGTACAGAGACAACAATACCCAGAAATTACAGTCTTAAGATGACTACAGTTATCATTTTAGTGAACATTCCTCCAGAATCTCTTTATGCATATGTACAAATATAGATAAATATGTAGAATTTCACTATCTGAATTAGATATTGTATATACTGTTTTAAAGCTTTTTTTCAGTCAACATTATGTCTTGGACATATTTCCATTCATTCAACATTCAGTAATATTAATTGATCATTGTTCCAGGGGCTTAAAATACCCAGGGGTCAAAACTAAGATTTCTGGTTTGATATGCTGATTTTACAGCAGGAGAGGGTAGACAATATAAACTTAATAATTAAGTTATGTAGCATGTTGGAAGATAATAAGTACTATGGATAAAAAGAAAAAAGAGAGCAGGGTGAGGGAGATCAGAAGCACCAGGCAGGCCCTGGCCGGTTTAGCTCAGAGGTTAGTGCGCTGGCCTGCGATCTGGAGAGACCTGGGTTCGGTTCCCACTAAGGGCATGTACCTCGGTTGCAGTTTGTCCCACACCCTGCTTGGGTTGTGTGGGTGGCAGCCACTCGATGTGTCCCTTTCACGTAGATGTTTCTCTCTCTCTCTCTCTCCCTCCCACTCCATCTGAACAAAAACAATGGAAAAATGTCCTCGGGTGAGGCTAAAAAAATAAGAAGAACCAGGCAGGCTGCAATATTAAATAGGGTAATCAGGGTAAATATAGATCTATCTCATCTGTTTTGATTACTACACAGCATTTTGTTGTCATGTCTTATACTTTTGATTATTCCATACTTGTTTATACTCTCCTTTTTTTAAATTGAAATCAGGTGGTCTATAATTATATTTTTCATGGTCAAAACTTTTGGTATTTTTAATGTTGATTACTCAACTTGGTATCCTAACTTCTTTTTCATTACACACCTTTTAAAATATAATACTATATCTTCATTTATAGCAACTTTTACTCTCCAAATATCAGATTTCAAAAATTATGATGGTTGAAAAGAATACATTACATATGTGTTTTAGAAAGAGCTGCTAACTGTCCATTGTGGTAATTTTGTGACTATGTAAAAAGAATGGTAAATTTGTTTTGGTAGTGTCATGAATTCATTTTGTACTTAAATTTGACAATGGATGTATATTATCTAGGAAATGTCAAAACTTGTGAATATTTGACTTATTAGAAAATGTGTTCAGCTTCCTCATTTTTTCTCTCTTGTCCTCCTTTGTATATTTTTGTCTTTCAAACATACAAAACTTATTTATGAATAGTATTTATTAGAGAACTTTCTACCTGTCTCCTTGGCTCTGTTCTTAATGTTCAGAGTATTTTAGTTCATAGAATAGTTGAAGAGAGCAGCTAGAATCTCTGAATGGAGAGACAGCCTTACTCATCTACCATAGACTGAGAGCAAAGTGACCCCTATCCTTTTCAGCCTTGGCAGATTACGTTATAGTCTTCCTCTTGCTTGTATCATCTTGCCTTTGACTTCAGTATCTCCTAACACTTCCCATATGCTAAATGAATAGTCAAGTGGTTATAAGTATATTTATGTTAATTAAAAATATTTAGCAGTCTATAATGTCCAGATTAACTCCCCAGCCCTGGCCAGTTTGGCTTAGCGGTTAGAGCGTCGGCCTGCAGACCACAGAGTCCCAGGGTCAGTTACCACTAAGGGCATGTACATTGGTTGCAGTTTGTCCCCACCCTGGTTGGGGTCATGTGGGTGACAACCACTCGATGTGTCTCTCTTACATCGATGTTTCTCTCTCTCTTCCCCCCTCTCTCCCTCCCACTCTATCTGAAGATAAATGCAGAAATGTTCTCGGGTGAGGATAAAAATAAAATAACTCCCCAAACTTAATTTTGTTTACATTTTAGGTGTGAGTACTTGATACGAGTTAAAGGACAAGAGTTCGTCAGTCGAATTCAAGCCAGTTACCCTCATCTACTTGAACAAGTAGGGACTTTATTTTTTTTTTCTAATCATTGATTAACAACAGATAGATTATTTTCTAATAATTGCAAATAGTAGTATTTTACTGCAAAGGCAAGAGTTGATTTAAAAATATGTTTTCTTTTTTACAACATCCAGCATGATATTAGCACTATTTTTAGTATAAAAACAGATCCAGAATTAGAAACCTCCTGAATAATAATATTTAAGTTATATTTCTCTCTAAGCATTTTTCTAAGAAAGTTGCAATAAAATTATTTGAGGAAAAAATTGGATGAGATAGTTTACTATATTAATTTTTCTTAAAAAGATTAGAGAAAGATAATTGTATTGCTCTTTCTAATCTTCCTGGAAAAGCAAATGAGAATTTATATAGTAGTTTGAGGATCAAACACTTTCTAGCTATAGTAAATGGAATCAATGTAGGGTCCAACTTATCCCAAAGGGTGATCCAGGAAATGTAAGATCTTTGGGATGAAAGGGAAACAATAATTGTGTCACAGATCACTGAAAAGCTCTAGTCCTTGTCCTGCTTAATGAAAATAGAATTTATATGTTCATATACACACACACACAAAGAAACTCTATTAGTTTATGGCTTAGGAAATTACTGTTGAATGTAAATAAAATAGTGCTTTTGACAAATTATTTTACCAATAAGCAAGTCAATTTGCAACAAGTTCAATAAAATAGGTCTCTTGATTCACTTTTTTTTTTTTTGCAATGGACAGGATAAGATATATATTTTAATTTTTATGCCTTTTTTCCCTGTAGCTGTTATCTACTTCAGACAATCCAGAAGATGAAAATGCAGAGTCACCAAGTATGTATGATGATGATAATGGCCACATTTAAATAGAACCACTTGATACTGTTAGGAATGAAATTTGATAACGGTTAATGGACATTTGCAGTATGATTTATAATTTACAGTGCATTTTCAAATATATTAAGTTGGTATTTCTCAAACTTTAGGACATATCATAATTGCCTAAAGAACTTAAAAAATATTACAGATTTCTAGTCTCCACTTCAAACCTACTGAATTGAATCACAGTATTTAAAGGGTGTGGCTTGAGCATCTGTTGTTTAACAAACTACATATATCCAGCCTAACCCTTGTCAGACCAGTGTGGGAACAGATACACTATACACTATGTTAGACTGCTCACATATTCTTCCCATGAAATGGACAGGGTAGGAAATATTATTCATTTTTCAAGAAGGACCCTGAGGCTCAGAGAGGTTAAGTGATCTATCCCTCACCTTAAATCTAAAAGGTGATAGAGCCAATATCTGAACAAGGTCTTCTATTCTATTATCTAGTCAGTTCTCAATTCAATTCAATAAATATTTATTGTGTATCTACTATTCTGAGGCTAGACTAGAGAACAGGATAACATAACTCCTATTTTCTCATGAACTAATAGGCGAAGGGATACAGGCAAATACACAGATAGGAGAGAGGGATGTGGTGAGAAAGTTACGTGTGCTATGAGAATGCACGAGGGACAATTAACCCAGACTTAGAAGATCAGAAAAGGCTTCAGATTAGAGGAAGTCTTTGTCTTATCCCAGAATCAAAGGGAAGAGCAGGAGTTAACCAAGTGACAAAGGGAGGAAAAAAATATCCCAGGCACAAAGAACAGCACATGAAAGACTTCAGTGACAAAAGAGAACAGGCACATTTGAAGAACTGAACAAAATTCTGTACGGCCAGAAGTAGGATTTGCAAACAGATAAATGAATGAATCAGGTCAGCAGTAAGAATTGTCAGCACTGCAGGCAGAATCTGTGACTTCTGGGCTAGAGTGTAGAGTGCATATGAATAAATGGGGACAGGTCCATCAGTTTGTGACTTCTGGGCTAGAGTGTAGAGTGCAAATGAACAAGTGGTGAGAGATGAGGATGAAAAAGTGAACAGGATCCAGATAAGTTGTGAGTTCTTCAAATGTACAATTGAACATCATCCTAAGAACAGAATTGCTGATAGAATTTAAGGAGTGTGACACAATCAGATTTGTGTTTTAAAAAGTCACTGTGGTTGCAATGTTCAGAATGAACTAGAGAGCGATACTGAAAGAGGTCACTGTAGTAATAAAGGTGAGTGATGACAATGACCTCTTTTGAAAATATGTGAAACAGCCCTGGCTGGTTTTGCTCAGTGGTTAGAGGTCTTGGGTTTGATTCCCGGTCAAAGGCATATACCCGGGTTGCAGGTTCTATCCCTAGCCCCAGTTGGGGTTGTGTGGGAGGCAGCTAATCGATGTGTCTCTCTCACATAGGTATTTCTCTCTCTCTCCCTCCCTCCCTTCTACACTCTCTAAAACTCAGTGGAAAAAAACCCTGAAAATATGTGAAACATATTTGATTTAGAAAGCTCATTTGTTCATTCAGTATGGGAAAAAAGAACCTCTGTTTAGCTGGGGTGGTCCCCGACATTCCATTTTCTTCTCCTACTCAAAGTTATGCCAGATAATGCATATTTTGTATCTGAATACAGTATTCCATATTCTTATTCTATTGACTGAACATGTATATCATTATTTTAAACGTAACAAAGTTAATACAAAATAGTGCCTTTATATTGTTTGAGCTTTATGCTTTTGATATTGTAATAACTTTCAATTTAAAAAATATACAGATTATCCAATATGTCTTAAATTCTTTATTCCATATAGTTATTCATTATGGAACAGGAGAAAACCACTCAGAAGATGCAGTCATGATGAATATACCTGTGGTTAAAGCTGCTTTGGACATGGGCTTTTGTAGAAGACTGGTAAAACAGACAGTTCAGAGTAAAATTCTAACAACTGGCGAGAATTATAAAGTCGTCAGTGATCTTGTATTAGATTTACTTAATGCTGAAGATGAAATAAGGGAAGAGGAGAAAGAAAGAGCAACTGAGGAAGAAGAATCAGGTACATATATTGGTATAGTCTCTATTTCCATAAGAATTTGATGTCACTGTAAATAGGTTACTAAAAATATAGTCAATTCAATCAGATTTTTCTTATGATCAGTATTCTGAAAAATTTGTTCACATTAAAATATATTTGGATTGCTTAGTAAATTGAAATGTATATATTGAGTGAAAGCATTTTTTTCCTGCCTTTTCTTGATTTATATTTTTACTCTAGGTAGTTGATTGTGTATGTAATTATTCATGGCATATTTTTAACCCCAGGCTAGTTGCTCACTTCATTGCTTTAAATTTGGGTGGGATCAGGGACAAATTATTAATATTTTTTAAATCCTCTCCCAAGGATATTTTCTCAAATATCTTCAGATAAGAGTTGCGGGAGGGGGTGGAGAGAGAGAGAAACATTGATATGAGAGGGACACATCAATTGGTTGCCTCCCACGTGACCACCACCAGGGCCGGGGACGAACCACAACCAAGGTACATGCCCTTGGCTGGAATCGAACTGGCGACTCTGATTCGTGGCCGATGCTCTAACCGCTAAGCCAAACTGGCCAGGGCGACAATATTAACATAACAGTATGTCTTAGCCTGTGACTATATATTAATGTTCAAATTATGATCAAGTCTTCTACCTGACCACACAAGAGCTGAGTTTCCCTTCCTATTGTCCCTCTAGTATTTAGGAGAGACCAAGCATACTGTTTCACATTCTCTCAAGGCAACTGACCCATGTCCCTCCATACTAGCTTTGCTACTCTACTGCCTTTACTATATTGCCTTTCATAAAAACTCTCTTCCTCAGAGCATGTCCAGTCTCATCTGGTTGCTCTGATTTCTCTCATCACTGTGGCCTAGACAAAGAGAAATTATTTTGCCAATGTTTCCCAATCATGGCCCAGATTCTGAGAGTTCTTTCAACACAGCTAAAAACAGATTGCAACTTTTAACAAGTTCAGAAGGGCACTACAGCACAAATGGCAACTGACAACTATAACTCGATGTGGCCTCTCTCGGTGCCTCTAAGCCCATCCTCTAGAATCTCTCTTCCTAGCTTCTAGTTCATCTCTGCATAGCTCTGGCCAGTTTATACAAATGACCAGGAAAGTCCTAAGCATGTTTTTCCTTATCAAAACTCAGGTCCTCAAATATCCACTAAACCCAGAAGGCGAAAAGAGATTGCCCCTTATCCTTGTCCAAGGCCATTTGGGATCTATTTCTTTCCAAGATGATTGGCAGTGAGACTGTCCACTCCATTCCTGAATAAACGTATACCTATCTTCTGGCCAACCCAGGCAAACCTATCAGACTATAGTAATATAGCATTATTTATTTATCAAAGTCTGAATTATTCAGTACTACACACTACCAATTCAGCAGCAAAACAGTCCCAAGTTCATCTTTGCCCACCCTACTCAAGTTCTCTTTTTCACCATGAAGTGAAGATCAGGCTACATACAAGTCCTTCCTGTAGTCTTCTCAGTTTTGGCTATTCATCAGTGAACAATTGCTGAGAGAAGGGAACACCCATCTCCACAATTGTTTATAGACCCCATGAAGTCTAAAGCTATCCAGCTATAAAATATTTATATTTCCTCCAAAGAAAATAAACAAAGTAAAAAGATATAACCCCAAGTGAACAATACATAATAATTTGCATTGTCAAAAAATTCCCGTCAGCTTAACATTATACCCATACTACCTAGTGCAGTGTCTGCACTCAAAAAATGTTTTTATTTTATTTTATTATCCTCACCCGAGGATATTTTTCCATTTTTTTGTTCAGATAGAGTGGGGGGGGGAGGGAGAGGGGGAGAGAGAGAGAGAGAGAGAGAGAGAGAGAGAGAGAGAGAGAGAGAAACATCGACGTGAAATGGACACATCGAGTGGCTGTCACCCGTACGACCAACCAGGGCCGGGGACAAACTGCAACTGAGATACGTGCCCTTAACGGGAACCAAACCCGGGTCTCTCTGGACCGCAGGCCAATGCTCTAACTGCTGAGCCAAACTGGCCACGCCTCAAGAAATGTTTTTAATGAGTGAATGAAAAAACTTCCATTTAGGTTACTGATTATTTTCAAGTTTCCCAAGAACAGTGGGTAATTTCTTGACAGGTGTGTAAATAAAGAGGAAATTAAGGACTTTTTTTTCCAGAATAAAATAATATACCTCAAAGGTATTTTCACCTCTTATAAGCCAGAATATAGTCTATGACTTTGAAATGAAACTTTCTCCATAGCCACTAGCAATACAGTTTTAGAAATCTTAAAAATTTCAGAGAATTTATTAGATTAAGTAAAATGTAATTAGAAAATAATTCTTAGATTGAAAAACTAATATACTTTAACATCAAGTGTAGATATTTTAATTTTCTAATATATCATTATTTCTTTAACATAGATAATTTAACAGAATAAATTAAGTTCAAATTCTTTTCCCCCTCTATTACTTATTTGTTCCCATTGCTCTTTAAATTACTAAGGCTTAGTTGTTCACTTGTTCAAAATATATTTATGGAGCATTAACCTTGAGCCAGACACTGTTCTAGGTCCTGGTATTTTTCTCATTTATTCTCAGAGCTTTAATTATTTTGAAAATGTGTATCTCTAACCTTGACTTTTTGACTAAGCCCTATTTTTTTTTTTCTTTTCTTTCTTTTTTTTATTATCCTCACCTGAGGACATTTTTCCATTTTTTGTTCAGATAGAGAGGGAGGGAGAGAAAGGAAGAGAGAGAGAAACATCGATGTAAAAGGGACACATCGAGTGGCTGCCACCCACACAACCCAACCAGGGCCGGGGACAAACTGCAACCAAGTTACGTGCCCCTAGCGGGAACCAAACCCGGGTCTCTCTGGACCGCAGGCCGACGCTCTAACCGCTGAGCCAAACTAGCCAGGGCTAAGCCCTATATTTTATATTAAATGATTCTGTTTTTGTGTCCTATTCTAGACAAAGCCAGTGCTTCTACAACCTAACAATTATCTCTTTCAAATAATTCTTTAGACAACCCAACTCTGTCATTAGTTATTTGATAGAAATAGCTTTATGGATCATGGTAAAACTGTATAATTAATTAATAAGCTTAGAGTCATAAGTCATTTTCCAAAGTGATAATAAAATTTCAGAGCTTCAAAATAGGAAACATTTTACCAATGGATACAAAATCTAGATCTCGAAGGAGAGTACAATGATCATTAAGTGACAGGAAGAAATATGTCATTGACAAATAGGGTATAGTTTTCAAAATGCTCTTAGTGTCTTTCCCCATTTACTACAAAATATTTAGGTAATGGCAGTATCATGCCTAATTGGGCAAAATAATTAAAATTTTATCTTAAAATGGAATTTTAAGGATAAATGATACTTTAACCGCTGAGCCAAACCAGCCACGGCAGGATAAATGATACTTTAAGAAAAACTATTCAAATTTTCTTATTTTATTTTTTTCCTACTTTGACTAGATTGAATTGAAATTTCAATTTTATTAGGTTCTAAATTTTATTTGGTTAAAGCCTTAGGAGTGTTGCCAAATGGTTGAGAGCAAAGATTATGATGCCAAACTGCGTTGGTTTGACTTTTACTAGTTGTGTGTCCTCTAGTAATTTACTTGCCACACTACGCCTCTGTTTTCTCATCTGTTATATTAAGATACTAGTATCTACCTCAAAGGGCTGTTGTGAAAATGAAATGAGAAAATACACGTACAGTGCTTACCACAGTGCTCTGTGTTAGTCCTTATTAGCCTTATTAGGCACAGAAGATCAGGTACCCCCAAACCTAGCAATCAACTTCAATGCCTGATTACGAATTATGCTTGTTTTCCATTCAGTTATATGTGTAGGTGTGGGAGAAAGTTTATGAACAGAGACTAAACATGTTTGTGTTTGCTTTCTTTTTCATAAAGATGATCTATTATATATCCGGAAGAATAGAATGGCACTTTCTCAACATCTGACTTGTATGCTTCCAATCCTGGATAGTCTTCTAATTGCCAGAGTGATTAATGAACAAGAACATGATGTTATTAAACAGAAAACGCAGACATCTTTGCAAGCAAGAGAGCTGATTGATACTATTATAGTGAAAGGAAATTTTGCAGCCACCATATTCAGAAACTCTTTACAAGAAACTGACCCCATGTTATACAAGCGTTTATTTGGTGAGTGCTGGAAAATTACTTTTGAGAACTTTCTAGGTCAATTGAAAATGTGCTCTTACTAATGTGATTATTGAAAAATCCAATCTAATTTGTAAACTATTAATTGCACAGAAGACTAAATAAAGACTTTTTTTGCCCTGACATGACATTTATTTATAGTATTTGGCCAGAATCTAAATTGTTAGCTTAAAAAATATATATTCTGTGCTAAATATTAACCTTATTTGCCCTAGTAATGCCTTTTCTTTTTCCCCTTTAGTGCAACAGGACATAAAGTACATTCCCACAGAAAATGTCTCAGGTAAAATAATATTAATGATTTAAACCAGTAGAAAACATTATTTTTATTTTTTGGGCTTTTCATTGGGGGTAGAAGCAGCAAATTGTCTTTTATTAAAAATGTGTTTCTCTTCTTAGATTTACCAATGGAAGAACAATTGAGGAGACTACAAGAAGAAAGAACATGTAAAGTGTGTATGGACAAAGAAGTGTCCATAGTGTTTATTCCTTGTGGTCATCTAGTAGTATGCAAAGACTGTGCCCCTTCTCTAAGAAAATGTCCTATTTGTAGAGGTACAATCAAGGGTACAGTTCGTACATTTCTTTCATGAAGATGATCCAAAACTTTAGAATTATGGATTAGATGTACTATAGTTTTAACTTTTATACTGATTTGGTTTCCTTAATTTTAAAATTTATTTACAACTCAAGAAAATTTTGTTTTATACAAATATATATTTATATAAATATATAGCTAACACATATAAACATATTTCAGATACAAGAGATAGGCTTTATTTTGTTCTTAAGGACAAAAATAGGGATAGCACTACAAGTACAATACTAAATCAAAATTTCAGCACTACTAAAATTGTAACTGAAGTAAAATTTAGTATTTTTAAATTAACCCTTCAGAATTTTAAGTATTTTGGAATTATATCAAGAACCATGGACACAGATCCTCTGCCTCATCTGATCAGTATCCTGTACACAGAAGGTTTTGATATTTGTTAAATGACTTTTTATGGAAGTGATGTTTTGGTAAAGAATTCTGTGAGGAACCTTTTAATAAAGCAATCAGAATTACTATTGTTCTTAATATTTTTCATTTCTGTGATATCAGATAATTTAGTCACTCCTAGGCTCCTTCTTTAACCAACTTAAAACCTCTTCAATATTGAACTGCAGTTTACATCCTTCCAAAAGTCCCTAGTTTTTTTCTCATCACTTTGGTATTAATTCTGGGACTTAGAAAGTACACTGGGTAGTGGCCCTTGGAACCAACAGCTCTTTCTGGAAAAATAAATTTGTTCTGTACTGTCAGTGCAGCAAAATTTCCTCCTATGCATTACTTTTTGGTACCACATTCAAAGGATAATTCTCTATCCTTTGTTTCCTATAGAGTTATTAGGGCTTTAAAACCACAAGTAACACTATAATGGGGAATACATTGCGGGACAAGCAAAGGCCAGTTATCTAAACCAGTTCTAGATGTTTGCTAGGGTCCTGCAGAGAAAGTTTAGGAACTAAGCAAGGGGGTGAGACTCTATCTCCTCATTCTGACACTGGGAGACTATTTCTTTGGGATGTCACTGGTTTTGCTTCTTAGTTAAAAGGCTCAGTTAGTTAGCCATATGCTAACCACATGGTCCTCCTGGGACACTAGGCTGAAAGGTAATATTGCTTAGGTGATCTGTAACTCAGTTATAGGATAAATATCTAGACAGTACATGCCCTTTTTGCAACATCTATTTTTTTAAAATCTGGTTCTTATTGCATATTACACATAATATTTGAACTTTTCTATCTCCAGTATAGAACTCTTGTTCATTTCCCATTTTAGTAATCTATAGCTAACATAACCAAGTTATTTATTCAAATATTTTTCTATTTCCATAAGTATTAGTTAAATTGAAATTGTGTTTTGGAAAAAAGAAATCACTGTAGGTAATACTGGTAGCTCCATTTGTTATGTCAGGCACTGTTTTTAGCTGCTTGATGTGCAGTAATTCATTTCTCCCCAACTTCACTCCCCATCTCACCTGGCTTTCAGTTCCCAGAATTGGGTAATTTAAACCTCAATATTCAATATATAATAAGTTATAATTCAGAATTTTGCAGCAGGCTTAATTTCATACTTAGGTCAAACTCATTATAACTTCCACCCACTTTTTTTATTCAGTTATTCATGTTACTTGATAATATTAGCTAAATTCCTTTTGGCCACAGGCAATGTCATTCAACTTTGTTTACCTCCTTTTGACATCTTTCACATCATAGCAGACAATGTGGATGTTTACTAAGCAAATTCTAGGCATAATTATCATATGTGATTTCAAAGCAACTCACTCTTCTAGAAACAACACAAATATAGTAGCTTGAAACAGTATTGGTGGATTAGTATTGCTCATTCTTTTTAAAACTGTGCCCATCCCCACCCTTCTAGTCAAGAAGAGTTAGGCAAGGTCTAATTTCCAGACTTTGCACTGTGCAAATAGGTATTTTTTCAAATTGCACAATATACTTGCTCCTTATCAGATTCTGACATGGACCTGCATAGTATTCAAGCTCATTTTCTGCCACTTTCCCCTGGCTATTTCCTAGCTACCTTGGCATCTTCGGTTTCTAAACATGACAAGCCCTTTCACTTCAGGGTCTTTGGAATGTTCTTTCAGTCACTCTTCCCCTGGCTAAGTCCTATTCATTCTTCAGGTCTCACTTAGTCTAGATGTTACTTCCTCAGAGAAGCTTTCTTTGATTTTCCCCACCTAATTTATATCCCTTAGACTGTCTTTCAAATGGCCTTTTGTTCTTCATAACACTTATCACAATGTATGTTTATACACTTGTTTAATGTCATATTCTAATCATCAAAATTTCCATGAGAAAGGTAAGTGTTTTGTTCAATATGTCTAGCCCATAGCACAGAGCCTGGCATAGAATAGGCCCCTATTGAATAAATAAATGAATAAATGACTTTCTGTGAGTGGGGGTAGAATGTGAGAGAGATAATGCTTTCCTTAATTACCACTGTTGGTAAATTATTAAGGTATAATCATTGCTAGAGAATCATGGGCCAAACTTAGATATCAAAAGGAATTTTTAGAGAAGAAAGATCAACTCAGTTAAAAAAAGACTTCTATAGGTGATGGAACTTGGAACTGTTTTCTGAATAATGAAGCAAGGTATTTCAATTTAGAAAAAATCAATTTAAAAAGAAAAATATGGGCATTAGAATCTTTAAAAAATTTTTAAATGTTTTATTGATCTTTTTAGAGAGAGAGGAGGGGAGAGATAGAAACATCGATGTGAGAAAGAAACATCTATCAGCTGCCTCCTGCATGCCCCCACTGGGGATCGAGCCTGCAACCTGAGCATGTGCCCTGACCAGGAACCGAACCTATGACCTCTTGGTGCATGTGTCGATGCCCAATCACTGAGCCACATCAGCTGGGCTACCCTAACTTTTAAGTCATTGATTTTTGAAATTACAGCTGCTGAGATTCTAATTTATATTAAATAACTACACTTCACTAATTAAGCTTTTAAATATTTTTGAAATTCAAAAAATTTGACTTTTGATACAGAATTTTTTTTTATCCTTACCCAAGGATATTTTTGCACTTATCTTCAGATAGAGTGGGAGGGAGAGATGGAGGAAGAGAGAGAGAGAAACATCGATGTGAGAGAGACAAAACATCAACTGGTTGCCACCCATACAACCCCAACTGGGGCTGGGGACAAACTGCAACCGACATATGAGATACGTGCCCTTAGCGGAAAGTGAACCTGGGACTCTCTGGTCCACAGGCTGATGCTCTAACTGCTGAGCCAAACTGGCCAGGGCCTGATACAGACTTTTAAAGCTGTCATGAACATTCAGATTTCCCACTACATAGCTCTAGAAATCTTTTCTGCACTTATCTTGCTCATGTCCTCATATGTAAAAGAAATTAAACCAAGTGAGCTTTTAGATTATTTCTAGTTCCAAAACCCCAATGAAAGGTTTTATGAAAAAATAAAATAAAATCCAAAGTCTTAAGACAAATATATGAAGTGATATTTTTTTCAGCAGATGGAAAGGTAATGCTGGTAAGTAACTAAAGGTTGGGAAAAGAAGTTGTTCCAAGTTTTTTTTTTTTTTTTAAATTGATTTTAGAGATGCAGGGAGAGGGAGAGAGAGAGAGAAACATTGATGAGAGAGAACACTGATTGGCCACCTCCTGCATGCCTCCCACTGGAGATTTGGCCCACAACCTGGGCATGTGCCCTGACTAGGAATTGAACCTGCGACCTCTTGGTGCATGGGTCGATGCTCAACCACCTGTTGACAAGCCATACTGGTCGGGCTGTTCCAAGTTTTTTTTGTTTTTTTTTTTTGTACAGATAGAGTAGGAGGGAGAGAGAGGAAGGAGAGAGAGAGAGAAACATCGACGTGAAGGGACACATCGAGTGGCTGCCACCCGCACGACCAACCAGGGCCGGGGACAAACTGCAACCGAAGTACATGCCCTTAGCGGGAACCGAACCCGGGTCTCTCCGGACCGCAGGCCGACGCTCTAACCGCTGAGCCAAACTGGCCAGGGCTGTTCCAAGTTTTTAATACACTGTTTAATTTTCTTAATGAGATACTTCAAAAATTCAGGAAAATATACATTTCATCTGTGCACTGAGGGGTACCACAATATGCCATCTCAAAATGTACCTCTTTGGCATATGGATTATTTTGAGCTAAAGGCCATTGAGAACCAGCATGAAAAACTCTTAAAACAGGGAGGCACAAATTTTCCTTTTGTAAAGAAATTTTACATTTATAATGTACTTTTTCTGGTCACTTTCCAAAGGCCCCAAACCTCTTTCCCTTTGCTGATATTTAAACCCATGTTCTAACCACCTCTTTGGGTTACCCCTCACTGAGAGTTCTCATCTGTACATGTGTGATGGATCTGTTAATAAAATTGGTTCTTTTTCTCTTGCTAATCTAGCTTTGGCCAGTTTAATTTTCAGCACCCCAACTGGAGAACCTAAGCTGGGCAGAGTGTAAGGACAGAAAACAGGCCCCTCTTTCTTTGTTGTGGCTTTCCCATAATTAATAAGAAGCACCTGGTAATTAAACTCAACATCGTTGGCTCCTCTGATTCAAATAGATCCTCTGTTCAAATAGAACCTCTGTTCAAATAGAACAGAAGGAAGAGATAAGGCTGCACTCTTCCTCACACCCCTTCCTCTGTGCCAGTTTTACAGCATTGGGTTGAGTTGCACTAAGGAATCTCCAATTAGAAGGAAGTTGAATTGGGCTTCCTCCACTTCCCTCCCTTCTCCCCTCCACACAGGCCTCTCCCTTTTGAACTTTTTATAACTTGTTCTAAGCTTATTTTACAGACATGGGAAAAATGCTGATAAGACACGTCCTCAGTGAATCTGCTTGACTGTTTCCTGGTAAGCAAACAAACTGTAACTTTTCAAGACAAACTTCCAGCATCTGGCTAACTCAACACAACTTCTACCCTTTTTTATCCTTTTCACTACAGCTGCCACTTACTCCCTAAAACCCCAATAAAAGAGCAACCCACTCTATCTTTGGTGCATTGTATTGTCTATCAATACACAGTCATTTCCTCCCTTGGAAAGTAAAATAAATTTCCCTGCTACACTTCTTTTTCTTTGTGAATTCTTTCACAGCCCTCATCCCTGGCCAAACCCTAACACAGAGGGAGAGATTTTTCCTTCGCTACAGTATACACTGATGTAGGGGAGGAAAAAAATAATTTCTCCCATACTCTTCTGAGTTCTTGGCTGAGACCCCGGTAATAAAGACAGATTAACAAGACAAAAAAATGTAAATTTCACATGTACATCTCATGTGTACATGGGAGATACCCAGGGGAAAATGAGTAACTTCCTTAGATGAAGGAAGCCTGAGGCTTAAATGCATTCCTTAGCTAAAGACACACACACACACAAAGGGTGTGGGGAGGTTGCCAGGAAAAGCGTGGCATGGTAAACAAGTGTAAACAGGTTAGTGAGAATGTCCTCACCATTGTTATCTGACCAAATTAAACACCAGCTTTGATGTATAAGTGCTTGATGTCTCTACTTAGTAATTTTACATCCACTGACCTCCTCATTCTACTGGTTGGCTATAAATCCTCAGCTGTCTGC